ACTACTAAAACTACTAAAACTACTACTACTACTACTACTACTACTACTACTACCAGTCCTAGTCCTGTCCGACTCCTCCTCCTCCTCCTCCCCCTCCTCCTACTGCTACTGCCACTGCTACTGCCACCGCTACTGCTACTACTGCTATTGCTACTAGACCTAGAGCCAACCGGTCGGCAGCGCAGCCTGTAAATCCCGGAACCTTGCTCTCACCGTCCGAGAAAATATTGGTCATGGGCTTGTAGCTTCACGATGTTGTGTTTGACGTTCAGGCTCCAGCGCTCCTGCAATTGCAATCTTTCAAATCATGGTCCTGGATTTGTGCCCCGAGTTCTATGTCGGCGGCAAGGAGAACCTGCTGTGGCAACCCGAGGATGATGAACACCAACGGCGATGTTGGTTGGCCCCAAAGCCCGATGTGGGAGCTGCAGACCCGGTCGCAAAGAAGATGCCCAAGGCAGTGCCAGATGGATTGGCCACGACCGTCGCGCCAGCAGCCTTGAGCTCGCGTTATGTTCAGACATCCACAAGACGCGAGCTCTCCAGGACCTATGCAACCGCTCACAGCATCGCAGGCTTCCGTCGAGTTCCAATTTGCCCGTTAGCCCCGAACCCCTGTCCATTGAAACTTTATAGTGCCTCAAGTGCCTCAAGCCAGTCCGAAGCATTAAACCTGAAATGCGAGAGAGCCAAAGCTTGTAGCAATCGGGTGTGTGCATAGAGAACACCAGGAATCATTTGCGCAATCCTCTCTGCAGGCTGTCCTGTCTACATCGGAACAGTCCCAAAGTCGGCGGTGACGTTGGCGCAGCCGCCCGGATTGCTTCTGGACCGGAGTCGCTGCATGGCAATCCCGCCCGCCGTCCAACATCCTGCCACGATCATCAAGAGGGTCCACAATGCAGCACCTCGAGTGACGATGCGCATCGTCCAGCCCGCAGCTATGCCCTACATGCAAGTGCGGTTCCCTGTGCAGCCAGTGTACCCGATGTCTCGAGAGACATCCTTCCTAGGAGGATATCCGATGGCATACTCCTCCGTGTACGTAAGCAATCGCGTGGTTCTGCCGCCACGCGTCCGCGTGCGAGCCTAGTCTTTGCACTGCTTCATGTCCCGTGGCCGAAAGGGGCCTGGACTTGAACGACAGCATGCCCTGGGTCCCCCAGTAGTGCCCTTCTACCTTTTCTTGGGTCGGTCTCCTTGTTAAGACTGAACTGTAGGCAGACATCTAGGCAGGGTTTTGAGGGATTGCTGGGGAATCATACCACCGCGACTGCAGCCCCTTGTTTCCGTGCCGTGCCTATGAGCCGGCTGGAATTGCGCTGGATCATGCTGGCTGGTGCTAGAAAATCGTCTGGTGGGTTTTTGGTTGGGGGCTGGTCGTTTCGGGCTTTTGATAAGTTTTGGCTTGTATATTGCTACTGCTGCTGCTGTTGCTGCTGCTGCTGGTGCTGGTGCTGCTTTGCTGCTCTGCTCCTACAACTAGCACTGCCACCTGCTTTGCCTTTGCAAGGAGCTGCGGGCTAGCAATGACGACCGTGCAGATCGCGACTTCCAGGCAACCTCGCAAGTGACCCTTGAAGCTGTTCGGGGCAGTGATGGCAGTGGCTTGCATCCACATAGTTACCGTCGTTCCACGCATGAGGAACGCATGACTGCATGACCCAACCTTCGGTCCTTCACACAGGTGGATGGAGGTGGCATCTCAGATCAGCCAGTCGTCATAGCTCTGCAGCCGGTGGAGAAGGCGAAGCTGCCATGATTGGGACTCAAATCGATTTCGCTTCACCACCCGAAGGCTGGTGCTCCGCTGAAGCCTGTGCTTGTGGAGTCGCAGGAGCACGAGGCAGTGGCTTTTTGCGACGGGTGTAATGTGAGCAAGAGTCGGCCATCCGCGCTAAGCCTGGCAGGACGGAACTGGATTTATCAGGACCCGCATGCCATCCACGCATCGGTCTCGTGCTGTTTAAGGGTACTGGTGTCCGAAGCCAGCGCCTTCGCCCCTCGCATGCCGGACCGTAGCGCATCGTGGCGCAGGATTCGAATCTCACCACCGCGAGAGACCAGTGGTGGGCTGATGGTGCAGTATCGTGTGCTTTGGTGGGTACTACTGTGGGCAGTTAACTAGTTTTAGGTTGAGTCGCATCACGGCCGCATGCAAATAGGGTTTGGCATATGGGTTTCAGCAATTGTTTCGATGTTTATACTGTTGCTCGGAAAAGGCTAGACATGGCTAGACTCAAGTCAGTCTCAGAATCCGAGTAAGTTTTGGATGATCGAAGTGCGAATTGTAATAGCATCTGGATGGGTCAGCCGTGGAAATACGATTGCAAATCCGATTTTCTCCACCCTTGGAGTGCCGGCTTGCCGGACTCACAACCCGTTGTTTGCTCATGATTGGCAATGGCACCTGCCTTGTCATCGCATGAAGGTGGGGCTTGGACGTCACTTTCGGAAGCCATGATGCGATAGCGCTTGCAGCAACGATGTGAACCACTAGCTGGCGAGCTCTCCCGGAGACTAAATGATTGCGACGGGACCTTCGCTTTGTCACAGCTTCAGGTATATGCCAGCTACATCCTGGATGGCGTTTTCCCGCCGCTGGAGCTGTGGGCCGAGGCGTGGGTTCGTGGATCCTTCCAGGGCCGTTTGTGAGCAACAACGGCAGGGCTCGACCCCGCTGGAGACTGTGGATGTAACGCTGACAGATCTCACCGTCGGCCGGACCTACGCAACTTGTCAGATTGTTATAGCAAGAGGATGCAAGAGGTGCCTGGCTGCTAGCTTCTGCCTCACTTTGAGACACAAGCTTCGGACCAACCGGTGACGTGATGTTCGAAAGCCAAGGTTTTTGAGGTGGCCTACCTTTTCTCGCAGGGTGAGTCTGCGAGGTGCTGTGAATCTGCTCGGGTTGTACAGCAACAGCTGGCGAAGGGCTCCCTTTTGTCGTTCGCTTTCGCTGAACACTGCCTGCATTGTACACACATGGGTGACCATAGATGCTTGCCAAATATTGATGCTCGGAAGCCTGTATAGCGTGCCGTATTAGGGTAGGGAAGCTCTAGGGTCGTCAACAGCATCTGGCTGGCAGGAGCCCTCCTCTGGAGCTAATTTGCTGCTATGCGGCGATTCCACAAGCGCCGAGCAGCTTGCCACAAATTGATGGCTGGTGGTAAGACGCACCTCGGAGTGAAAGCCGGAACGTTGGAGCTTCACTGGATTTCTCGAATGCACTTCGCAGACAATGCGTGCTTTCTGCTCCGGGCCTAGCCCATGGGATGAGCATGTTGAATGATTTTGGTTCCGTGGCGTGGAGGATGTGATGTGACAGGCCTCTCCTTGGATGTGCATCTGCGATTTTGGGTGTGCGTGCCCCCTCAGGGAACCTTCGCCGGAAGAGCGACACTGGTGGACTTCCAGTTCAGACGGACGATCGCATCACGATCCCAAGCCGCAACTAGAGAAGCAAGACACTGGCAGACTGGCCCAACTGCATGAGAGCGAGAAAAGCGACTTCATTCGCTAAGTGGACTCTAAAATTACTGAGCCAAAGTCCCAGGCCTGAGGCATCTGCTGGCAAACAGCTTCGTATCTTTTTCGGTAGTCTACAAAGGTCTCAGCTAGTAGCGAGTGATTGACGAGGATTCTGTGCTTCCCTGAGGGTCATTTGGGATGCTCCAACCTTCGCTGGTGTCCGCGACATCACCCACTACAAGGCTGGCACTTAGCTAGTTCCGGTTCTTACACTGCGCTGTGGGCCAACTACTTGAGCAGTCGCATGGTACGTTCAATGCTATGCACCAGCTTGTGTCTTTGACAATAGCGCTCTTTCGCCACGACGGCCTCAGTAAGTAGATTTAACAGAGGCGCGACCTTTGCATCGTTGCTGAGGTGAGCTTGACCCCGGTCGTGGTTCTGCAATCCAGCGAGAAGCTGCGCTCGTCCGAGGTACTGAGGAACACAAGGCCACCAAGCTCGTGTGGTGTCATGTGGTGTTACTGTCCCCTGGAGTTTGCTAACCTCTGTCATTCTAGAGTCCGGAGCTCGCAGCGGCCGCTTCGTCTTAAGACCATTCCTGGAGCTCGCAGCATTCTGTCGCATCGTTGCCAGATCAGCCGACGATCGCGAGATGCAGTTCGACAGTCTCTCAGCAGGACAGACCTATGCGCTGCTCAGCTGGGAATCTGGACATCTCGTCTCCCCTGTCGTTTGTTGGCTTTGTGCCTCGATTGCCTCGCAAGCACACCGGGACACATCGAGACACCCTACTGAGACATGCAATGGGGGATGAGACAGCACCACATCGCTGGCTTCCCTCGACTTGCACAACCAGTATTTAACGACATGAGGAATCCGGAGTTGCCTTCAAACCAAGATGAACAAACCAAACGTGGGGCAAGTGCCTTACTTGTAGCATGCCGTTGAGACTTGAGAAGTAGGGGTGATACGGATGGGCCCGGTATACTGGCTCATAGGATTTGGGCCCTCGAAATGTTTGCGTAGAGGCTCCGAGTGGCGGCAGTCTCCGGTGCCGGAGATGGACCTTGGAGCGAAGAGGTGGCGGCTTGGCACCGGGAAAACGCCCCCAGCAGATGGCCGGAGCCTGAGACACGAGCTCGTCGGACGCAAGATCTCAGGTTATGCCGGCTTCGGGCTACAGCACGGAACCGCGCGACTTGACAGAGCAGATTCTTCGAGATGTGAAGAGTCGTAGGTCATCGTAGGTCGTCGGAGTTAGAACCATGCTTGGACCGGAGAGGATTCAGTGGATGTTTGAGTCTGGAATTCGGTGCCGTGTATTATCTGTCGGGCTCTGGTTGTGCCACGCTTTGAAGACATAGCGGAGTCACGCTCCGCATCCACCACTCATTGAAGACCTTCCAGCCTGTTCTGCGCGAAAAACTGACGGGCACGTGTGCGGCGTGGAGTGCCCCCCACCCCCACGCGGCACTCAACTGCCAAAATTCAATGTTTGGCATGGTGACAAAGGCAGAGGTGGAACCCTTGCTAAATGATTGCTCCGCAACCCGTGGAACAAGCATGAACCGGCCCTTCTCCACCAGAAAACAACAGCTGCGAGATACGTATCTGCTGTGCTCACTGCTCGAGTGCGAGGTGATCTCCATGTCGCCTTACAGTCGAACTCCTCGATCCACTTTGCCTGGGGCGAGCCACTCCGTGTGGGCGCCGGCGGTTTGCGAGGCCGACTCGCCGAAGCTTCTGAGAGCGGCACATGTGACTGCTATGGCTATGTTATGCTATGTTATCTTGCTTGATGTTGCTTGGCTCGGAACCCTGGCAGGTTATTCCATCTATGCCAACGTCTCCACGCTGGCAGCAGCTCCTGCACCATACCTTGTCGGGCAGACCGTGGCAGGCGGGTGGCACCAAACTTCGAGTGCTTTGACAAGATGGACCTAGGACATTCTTAATGTCAGCACAGGTCAGAACAGCTTCAGCTTCACTGGCTACAGCTACGTTGCCACCGACGGCCGCCTTCGCAATGTAGGTCTGATCCCAGGACCTCGACAGCGAATCCAGGGATAGACAAGTGTGTGAGAGTCTGAGCGAATCAGGACGGCTCTACGAGGTCTTCGTGGTTGCCGAGAATGCAGCAGGCGAGAGCAGCTTCTGCTAACAGACTTCAGCCTTGGGAGCTGCTCTCAGGAGTTGGCCCGGCCTCCGTGTCCTCGACGATCTCGGCGGTGGCCGCCTCCAAGCCGCTCCCCCAATCAAAAGAGCTACGGCAGGCGAATGCAGGCGACAGGTCGGCAAGGACGTCCTAGAGCGTTCAGGAGCCCAGGGTCTTCGACAGTCACCGCGAGGCCCTCTGCTCCCCAGGCCTTCGCGGTCGACCTCGAGGCGTTGAGTCAAGGACCACCGTGCCGTGGCACACGTGGCACTACCAAGCCGAGCGAGCTCAAGCATGCTCAAGCCATCCATGAGGCTTTGAAGATCATTTGGCCTCGGCCTGCAGGAGTGGTGGACCTGTCCTGGCAGATGCCTTCAACCGATGGTGACTCCCCGATCGATGCCTACCGGGTGCAGCGCATGAAGGAGTGGCCCGGAACCTTCCTGTCCCTGGGCAGAATTCGGCGAGAACAGCAAGAGAGACAAGGTCGCACTTTTTGCTAGCTTGCTCTGTGATGTCTACCAGGTCTCAGTGCTCCGTTCTGCTCAACAACTTGGGCGAGCCTGGTGGCAACTGCTCCTCGGCTTTCAACATGGCCAGATGTGTGTGCCCAGCATCTGCTGACATGACGTTGTCAGTCACGCTGGCTTTGCACCTTGGCAGCTAACTGCGTGCACTTTTTTGGAAGGAATCCTGAAAGGTCTCAGTCTCGTCAGTCAACGTTGTGCAACGCGTTTGACAAGACGGAAGATAGCAAACGGTGCTGAACCACGAGCAGCCCTCTTCACTCAGAGGTGTGATTGGAGACTTCGCGGCCAATGGCGTTGGGGATACTGACCTCATCGAGGAAAATCCTGGTCAGGCAGGGGCAGCAAGCCATGCAAGCCAAGACGGCTGTGGATTCCGACTCGCTGCCATCGTTCCATGGAGCCTCGACGCTGCTATTAGTCAAGACTCGTTAAGACTCCAACCCAGTTTCGTTAGGCACCGACTTGCAATTTTTCCGGAACAGGTGCGCATCTACACTGGCCGTGCCTCAGTCGCAACACCTCTCTGGGATGCTGAGTTCTTGCCAGTGCCAGTCAGTTCCTTCGCAAATCCGAGAGTTCCCAATGTTTGATGATGCAGTTGTTGCGTTTCCGCAAAACATGCTTTCCGAAGTCTGTGGCGGGCTCTGGGTCGTCGGGAAGCAGCAAAGGTAACTACTGTAGTGGTTCCGGTGCACATGTGAGTTCTTTCACTTCGAAAGCATGAGGTTGATTGTGCATGGTTTTTTTTGGTTCCATGTTTTGAAGGGCTTTGGGCATCTGTTCTCTGGACGTTCCCGACGCACAGGCGAGGGATGGCGAGGGTTGTGCAAGGTTGCTTGCGATTCCGAGGCATTGCGGTGCGGAACGTGGCACGGGAAGCCCAGTCTTCTGTGCTATGCTCAATAGCGACTTGCCTGCCAAGGTGTCCTTCCGATTGCCTGCAAATGCTTGCAATAGTGAGAGCAGCATGTGGGTCGCCATGTCATCCAAATCCCACAGAAGATACAATACTCGTCAGGCAGACCCAAACAAGACTAGAGAGCCCTATTCCCTACCCTCAGGACGTGTTCGGTGATCCGCTTTTCCCCACGGCCGAGTATGATCCCGGACGCGACGAGCCGCCACTTAGAGAATGATGCTCGTCAGGTAATAGTGCAGGGGATTTGCGCAAGCATGTGAAGTAGGGTCTGTGCGAGGGATTGCGCTGAGTGTCGAAAGGGCGCGTAACACGTTGGGTGTCACCACGGGTCTACTTCATGTCGTCGTGCTCCCAAGATCTCCCAAGCTCATGAGCGTTATCCCCGTTGCGATGGACCGCTGTTGCATGCTTTGTCGGTTCATTTTGTTCGAGTATTTCAGAGCTCTCGTTGCGGGCCCACGTCTTGCAAACCCGACTGTAGACCATAAGCCCGAAACCGTGCAAAGAGGAACCCCTCAGAACTGCAGATGTCTGTGTGCCAGAGTTGACACGTGGTGACGTGATGCAAATCAAATCGACCTGGCTCCTCTATTGTGGAATCCAGGGCCTCTGCTGCAGCAGTTGTGGCAATGCCTGCCGCTTGAGGTTACGTGTTGGTGGAGGTTTGTGCTGACGAGCCGGGAGCTCCTTGACCAAAAGTGTACATTCACGAGCTGGGAACGCTACTTGTAGCAACAGCCAGCACCCTCGAGGACTGGCATGACGCAGACAGCGACTCCTTTGACTGCGGATGGTACGCAGCGGAGCCAGGAGCCTGAGCAGAGGGCTTGGCCACTCGTGGGCTGCGTTATCTCGTCGTATCTTACGCTCGAGTGCCAAGCAAGCTGCCTGCAGGACGGTGTGAGATTTTCGGAGTGGCTGGGCAGCAGGTTGAGTCGCCAAGCCTTCGTTGCTGTGCTTCGAACTAGTGAAATTTCGAAATAGGCATGGTGAGAGTAATTGACGAATGCACCTTCGTAGGCTGCCAGGATTTGCAGGCCAAGGGCAGAGACTTTGAACGGTTTAGGGCTAATTGCAATCACTTGAGGTCCGATCACCGGGCCTGTGGAATCGAACTGCCAGTGAGGCTGGACCGATGAAATGCACTTTGCAGTGTCCTGAACAGCAATGCTTCAAGCCTCAGCCTTCTGCAGGCATGCTGTGCATGTGGCGGCGGCCTGAAGACGAACGAACTGAAGTTCTGCACCAAGGAGCCCGGTGCTAGGTGTGGGCCCTTGCTGGACGGAACAGTCGAACGTCAGGAGTTTGGCACTTGCGAGTTCAACAGCACCATCCCTGCTTTCGGTGGCCTCAAGGCAGACTACACTGATGGATGCTCGGCATTCGTTTTCCTCCGCCAGGCTTCAGCTGACCGATTGCATCTGACATGTCACGACTCCAGCCGTTTGTACGTGCATATCTGTAAGCTGAAGCTCGCGCTGGCTCCATTACCTGCAGCAGGCCACAGCACTTGGCTGTCGATGTCACCCATGCGTGCTTGGGCGACAATTCCACTGACCCTGCTCGCTGCGGCAGACAGAGGAGCCAACTGGCCTCCCGTGGCTGCAAAGAATGCCTTCGTACACCTCTTTGAGTGGTCTTGGCAAGATGTGGCCAGAGAGTGTGAGGAGTGGCTAGGCCCCAAGGGCTTCTCAGCGGTTCAAGTTTCCCCGCCCATGGAGCACATCCAGGGCCAGCAGTGGTGGACCCGATACCAGCCAGTGACTTACAATCTAACCAGCCGCTCAGGCAACGAGAAGGATTTCAGAGATATGGTCAGCCGATGTTCCAAGGTGGGTGTCAGCATCATTGCAGATGCGGTGGTTAACCATGCAGCTGCCGGAAATGGTGTTGGAACAGCAGGAAGCTCCTATGGCGGCCGATCAACTGCTATCTATTCTCAGGAGGACTTCCACCACAACCCTGATGACACCAGCCGGAACTGTGGTGTGAGCAACTACAACGACAAGCAAAACGTTCAGTACTGTGACTTGGTCGGCCTTCCGGATTTGTGCACGGGGTGCTCGCAAGTACAACAGGTCGTCGCACAGTATCTCTCCAACCTGCTCCAGATTGGCGTTGCTGGCTTTCGCATCGATGCGGCGAAGCATATGGATGCAGGCGAACTCAAGAAGATGCTCGAGCAGACGCAGGGTGGCTTGCCATGGGTGTTCCAAGAGGTGATCGAAGGTGGAGGCGAGGCAGTGACGCCGCAGATGTACACTGACATAGGCAAGGTGACGGAATTTGGCTACTCGAGGCAGCTGGCCCCGAACTTCATAAACGAGGGTAAGATGAAGTATTTGGACACCTTCGGAGAGAAGTGGGGGTTCATGTCTGGTGACTCTGCTGCAGTCTTCTTGGACAACCACGATACACAGCGTGGCGAGGCGTCGCTGACCTACAAATCCGGATCTCTCTACACCCTGGCCAACATCTTCATGTTGGCCCACCCCTATGGTTACCCCAAGGTGATGAGCTCGTACTACTTCGACGATCACGACCAAGGCCCACCTGGCCAGCCAGTGCACGGCGATTCGGGCCTCGCATGCGGAGACGGTCATCCCTGGGTTTGCGAGCACCGCCGGCCTGAGATCGCCAACATGGTGGCCTGGAGGCAGAGCGCTGGCACCGAAGGGCTGAAGGCGTTTCAGGCTTCAGACGATGGGAACAGCATTGTCTTCTGCCGCGGAGCTGCAGCCTGTGTCGCATTGAACCGTGGTTCGGGCAGTTGGAAGCTCACGGCCAAGCTCACTTTGCCGTCGGGCAAGTATCGGGACGTTGTTCGTGCGACCGACATCTCGGCTTGTCCGATCGTCGAGGTGAAGTCTGATGGCTCAGCCGATCTTGAAGTTCCATCCATGAGTGCTGTGGCTCTGCACATCGGGGCGACTGAGGGGAGCCACAACCCGTTTATCATTTCAATTTGATCTTAGCTGGCCACAATGTTTTTGTTGAAGACAACGGTGGCAATGCTTTTAATTTTGGCAGAATTGAGTGCAACGCGGTGCTTGGCCGAGCCTGAAGGTGCTTTGCTAGCTCGATGTTGTTGGGCGCAAAGTGCGTGTGGGTACCCACCGGCAGACCGGCGCCTACGGCAGATGGCGCGGAAAGAACTCCGTAGTTGACGCGACAGTTTGTATTTCTGTGGGATCTTGTGCCCCGAGTGTCTTAGGAGTTACGCCTGTCTACTTCGGGAAGCTCGAGAGTTCGGTATGGTCCGTGGCAGACACCAGCGGGGTGTGCTGTCGGCAGTGGAGGAGCCAGATCTATGCAAATATCAGGTTTCACAGCAGATGCACAATTTGGCATGCTCTAGACTAGACCCCGTGCCACGACTCTGTGTGAGGGGAGATGTGCGACGTGGCTTCATGGCCCAGCAAGCCTTGTGCAAAGGTCGTCGAATGCAGCCGCGCCATCGGCGGCAGGGCCGAGGCACCCTTGAGTGTGAAGAGGCCGTTCTCCGTGCCTCGAATCCTTTTCGCAGGTCACAGGTGTCAGCGACATCGCCTTCAGCACCCAGCAGTTTCCCGGCAATCTGCGTTTCAGTAGGGCATATTATGCCAATCCTGAAGACTTCAATGCTAATCTTTGGTGACGGCACGGTTAGGTTTTGCTACATCGTCGAAAAGGACCAGGGAGGTTGGCGGGACCCCTGGCGGCATTGCTTGCGCCTCTGTGGCATAAACCCAAGTCTATCAAGTGGAAGGGCTTCTCTGTAGTAGAACGCGTCCAGGACCCTACGATTCGTGCTCAAATCCCATTGTACACATCTGGACGTACCCGAAGCTTGAAGCACTGCGATGTCCAGGAGTTGCGTTCGGCGTCCACCTTCAGCACCGATCTCTTCTACAGCGATGCAGCTTCGGCTCTTACTGAGCATCATCTAGTTCAATCTCACAGGGTCTGCATGACAATAGTCACCCACTTTCCATCATGGCCGATGGATGTATCATCTAATGTGATCCATAGTCGCTTCATGAAGACCAGAAAGGGCTTCTAAAGGAACACACTTCGCCGCAGAAAAACCGGACAGGATCATCAGTGACAATCTGCAGGTTTAAACCCATGTCATAAGAGTTGTATAGGGAGCCGTGTCAACAGCCAAGATTCGTTCGGGCACGTCGGTGTGAAGCAACTACCACAACTTGCGTCGGCTTCGTCCGCCCCACTTCACGATTCTCTCTTGAGCCTTCAGCCTCGATCCTTCGCGCCTTCATCGTCGAAGAAGTGCGGAAGATGGAGCCAAGTGAAGCGATTCAGCAACACGGGCTCACGCATCGAGACGTGGGTGTGACAGGGCAAGCCTGTGGCGTGCTACCTTGCTTGCTGGCTTGCATGGCCTGCACTAGCGCGACGAAAACATTCCCAGTCTTGTCGGCAAAACAAGCCGCAGGCCCGGACTACAACGTGCGGCATACGATGCGACATGTTGCGAGTGACTTTTCGGCTGCTTCTCGTGAATGTGTCTAGCTTGCCTGACGGACTTCCACTTCAATCGGAACCCTTTGCGGCGCCACGGCCATTGCACATGCTGGCAAGCCGCGCGGTCCCTGGCAGCGTCCGTCAATTCTTGTCACGGAGACGGACGTCCGACACAGAGACGATCCCGTACACGTTGCCGGCCCGGTGAGCCTGGAGTGCGCAGTTAACGTAGGGATGCGCAGGGCGATTTGTCAGGACCTTCGGCGAAGGAATGGCTGACCGTGTCAGCTTGCGGAGGCTGCTACGAGAACGACTGATTTTTCGGTCACCTCGGTGGCCCTAATTAGCGCTGTATTTCGAGTGTCTTGTAGCCAATCGACATCAACGCACCTGGCAGGGCTTCTGTACCGGGTTACCAAGTTGGGCAGCGGCAAGAGTGTGTATGCATCGTAGATCATCTTGATCGAAGTCTCGTTAACGCGCATGTCCTCACCGATCCTGAAAATCAACGACCGCAGAGTCCTATCTTTTGTTGGCACATTCACGCTGGTCGCCAAACGTTTCACTATGCAACGAGATACTGCACATTGCAGCATTCGTTGTAATGACAAGGAATTTGGGCATTTAACCATGTCTTGTTCAGGTTCGAGCGGTGCTTAGCCATCGTTACCAGTATCGAGTCTATGCCACGAATGAGGCTGGCCGGTGTAAGTCTGCACTGGTAGCATGTTCAATTCGATATTCAGAGATGATACTTGCTTCAGCGACGCTTCGAGTTCAATGGAAGGCTATTGTCAGTCAGTCGACCAAGACTCCGACGGTAGCTGCTTTCGCTTGCCAAAATGCAGGCCGTTGCAGGTTCAGTGCTCGCGACCCCGGAAATCTCAATTGCATCTCGGCAGCATTCTGAGTGGGATGATCGCGGTGGTTGCAGGACATGGTACAACTCGCTCCTAGAAGAATTCCATCGCGGAACTTGCGACACGTGTTTGCATCGAAGGTGACTGGTGGTCTACCGGATCCTCCGGAAACTGTGGTGTTGGGTTCTGACCAGATGACAGTCCGCATCGCTTGGATCGAGCCTCCAGGAGAGCGCTTGAGCCATGCCCTGCCGATCAGAAGCCAGACGCCAGACCACTTAGCTGCGGCACAAGACCTCCCCCTCGTCTCTCTCCTCCTGCCTTCTGTGCATAGCTTCTTTGACGAGGACAAGGCCTGAAAGTGGAAGGCGGCAGGGTGGGATGCACAGGGTGGAGTTTCGACATCTTCCTGAGGAATCCAAGCAGAGGTAGTCCGGTATAGGAAGTTGTCCCTGGGGGTCCCTTGCAGGCTATCGAGTTTATGTCGATGGCAAGTTGGCTTATGATGGTGCAACAGACTCCGTCACAAGGGAGCTCCTTGGTGGTGGTTCTGTGGCACTGTCACAAACTTGAAAACGCAAGAAACCTTGTCAAGGTTCACGTTGCTGAACTGCACGCGTGGAGAGCTGCGCGACCTGGCAGTGGCTGCCGTCAATGCTGGCGGAGAGACCTTGGCCGCTCAGCCCCACCAATTGGTGGCCTTCAGCATCAACTGGGTCCGCGCCGTTCCTGCAAAGATGCCTTGAGGTGCCGACGGTCATTACGCGACACTGTGCACGCCGGCCCTTCAAGCCCGAGAACCTTGGAGCACAAGATCCTGTCCAGGAGTTCAAAAAGCATCTAGATTCTAGATCAGCCGTGCCTGGATAGGGTCAGAAAGACACCTTAGTTAGCGTGAATTCGCGTATAGAAAACAAGCTTTGCAGCAAAGTCTAGCGGCTAGTGGCGTCAGGATCTGCAGATCTTTGTCTTGTCTAGGACAACCTGGGCGGTGCCAATTCGCCCCCAAAAGAGAAAGTGCTCAGCCCATGTAATCACTGTAATCAAATTACCCATGTCATCAAATTGGAAAAATGACAGCTTATGGAAAGCGAAGACATCTGCATGCACTTGGTAAGCAACGACAAAGTGATAGATTCCTTCACTTCACTCTGTCTCGGTAGGATACCAGAATCCCATGTCACAGGAACGCTGAGTGACTTGATTATAACGTTGTTTCTGTGGACTTGTTGCATTGCTGGAGACCAAAAGCCAATGGCAAAGGCACTGTGGACACCCTGACAGCACCAAGATGGATGCCAAATGTATTGATTAGTGCTGCCTCAATTGAACCATTCGATCAATGGGCATAAGCATGATCTAAAACCGGTGCGGCCTTGCCACCTTGCAGCCGAGGCCACCAACCATTGTGTATGTTGACTGCGTGAAGGAAGCCACACCTGACAGAATGTTGATCGACAATCACATCCGCATCGAGCCACGCCTGCAGAAATCATGCGCGTCATTCTGCAAAACTTGGTGCGACTCCTGATCTGACCCTGCTCGTGCACGAGGCTTACAAAGAGCCGGAAGACAACGGAGGCGCGTTGCCGACCAAACGCAATCTGGGGGGGGCATGCAATAGATGCTTCTCTAAGTCCTCTGGAATCCGGGTCTCAATGAGTCTAACATTAGCAGTGCTCAGTGCTCAAAGGGAAGATGTCTGCAACAAAGTGCATACAAGCGCGAAGCCACAATGACCAACTGCGCTTCATGCCAGATGACCCTCTATGAATCTCCAGTCATGATCCTTACCGTTCGTCTTTTCCAGGAGTGCCGCTGACTGGCTGGCGCATTCAGCGGGCACAGGGAGAATCCTTGGCTTTCCGAGGCGTCGGCCCTCTGTTCCTCGGCCAAAGTGCAAGACCCTGCTTGTTTTTTGACAGCCTATAGAACATGGGAATTTGACATTGCCTTTTCGACTCAGGTTCCCCATCCCTGAGAATGAAGTCTGGTTTGACGACTTCAACGCCGCTCATCTTCGATCTGTCTGTCAATAAGAAATGCACAGCTGCAAGACAGCTCGGACGACAGTCGCCTCCACACGCCCCACGCGCAAAGAGTAAGGACCTGGATGGGGCCGGAAAAATCGGCTTAGTTTGGGGGGAAATCTACAAGTACAGAGCCAAGGTTGCATATGGTTGCGAGAGTGACCATGCAATGTGCCGCGTATGCTGAATCAAAAGCTGCGCGCACCTGTCAAGGAGTTGTGGCAGTCAACGACATCGACATCTGGGACGACGAGAGCGCATCCGATTACACGATTGTACGATGTTCCAACGAGGCAGGCAGTCTGCTGCCCGAGATCGGCTGCTGTCACCGAAGCGGACATGCAGGATCGTGTCGACAGGGCCAGTCAATCGACACTCACCGTCAGATTGACACTTCTAGCAAACCGCTGCAGGCACCTGAGGTTCCGTGGTGGCTGCAGTTAAATGCATCCACGACGACCACCACAACCACTGCAGCTCCCCGCGCTTAGCAAGCTTTTCATGGTGTGGTCAATCATCTATCGCAGCTGGCTGCTGTTTCACGATTAATGTATGTTTCCTCGCTGACGGGTTGAGCACGGCCCTTGTCCAGAGGCCGCTGACAATCAGACTTTCGCTGCGGACTTGGTAACGGGCTTCGTTTGGAGTGTGGAGGCTCGGCCAACACGACATCATCTTGCCAAAGAAGCTCGCAAGTCACCATGCACATTCCAAATTGCGTTTGTGCTAGCTTTCCATCGTTGTCTGTAGCAGGGGGGCAAGCTGACAGGCCACAACGACCACCACAACGTTGACAGCTATGGAAAGCAGCTATGCCTTTGCGAAACTGGCAGACGTGGACCCAAGCTGTCGAACACGGCACATGTTCACGCACTCATCTGTGGCGAATGCCGATGAGCACTCTGGCCGCTTGTCAGGACCCCAGGGACTGCTATTTACCTCAGAATGTTACCGAAGAGCCCTTCAACTTTTCCGCAACGATCGTGTGTCTTGGCAGAGATATCATCCCGGTGCTCCTTGAACTGTTCATAGGCTGGCGCTCACGAAACACCCACAGTCATGGCAGGGAGGCTTTAGAAGCCTTCGATCCGCCACCTGCACCAACACTCTCCGTCGCTTGGTCCGCGTGCTGCTTGGCTACGAAGAGTGTGAAACTGAGCACTCTCCGCGTTGGAGTGGTTCTTTGAGGCAACACCTCGGTGAGAAAAGGAGATCCCTGCAAGGAGTTCTTCCCAGACAGGCCCGGCCCGGATGCGAAGCGGTGAAGTGGGAGCACGCCTTCGCGGCAGGTCTGACGTTGTGGCATGTGCTAGACTGGAGTTTCGACCCACTCAGCCGGCGCTGCTCGCCGCAACAGTTCTGGAGCTAGGCGCGCAGCATGTAAGCTATCGACATCTCTCGGTTCACGCTGACTCTCATTCGTTATGAGCTGTGAGTGCACGAGAACAGATATTCAACACTATCAGCTTAACATGGCCGACGAATGCCGACGACGACCTTGTCCCGCTGCATGGTCAACAGGTCCCTGTTGCCCGATGCCACAGCACCAGGACAAGGGTCTTGGAGCTTTCGGTTGCCCTGCACCGCTTAGGAATATCTCGTGCCCCGTGGAGTGGTACGAAATCGAGCGCAACGAAGAGTAACCTTGCTGGAAATAATCATGTTGACGCGGGCCAGGGAATCGACACTGTCCGAGAGTCAGATGCTTCGAGTGACAGTCTCAGGTCTGGTAGGCGATGAAATGCATTGCAACCTGCTGAGGCTGATTGCCACAGTCCGGCCATCGCAGAACGGCTACTGTCCCGCATCCTCACGCCAAATTGCCAGCATTTTCATGCCTGCAGCATCCTGCTTCTTTGTGTCCTCACCGCAAGGCTTGGTCGATGCTTACACGGCGGACACATTTACTGCCTCCCACTACGATGGCTTTTTTGGCACCCGATTCACTTGCGTTTTGGCCTACTGGTATGAGGTGGCAGTCATAAGGTACATTGTAGCGACTGTCGAAGCATTTCCATTCAGCCATTGTGGCACCGGGAAGAGGAAGCTAGTTGTTCTGGTTCTGCTCTGCTGGCTGTACTTTGCAAGGTTTCCAGACTATTCCGAATCGCGACCTACACGACAAACAGCTCTACAGGACCTTAGCAGCCGATGTCGATTGCGGCAAAAATGTCGGCTTTGCACCCTGAAGCTCGAGATATCAGCTTTGTTTCGACAGCTCAACTGCAGGATCCGTGCCCAGAACTGTCGAGGATGGGGTGCGTGGTCGGAGGCAGGCACAAGCCTCACTGCGCGCTACAAGCTGCATAAAACTTCATCAGTCACCTCGAGATGCAGCGTGCAGGAACTTCCAGTCCCAGTGGCTGCTCCGCCAGCGCCAGTCTGTGGCCGCTGGTTTGTATTAAGCAGTCAGCGATTCGTCGCGGATCTGCACCTGAAGCCGACCGTGATGAAATGCATGTTGTGGTCCTTCCAGGGTATGATGCCGATAGTAGGCGCAATCCTCTGAAACAAGCACGGGCACCGCACAAATTGCGAGTGGGGTCATCGTCAAACTCCAGTTGCAAAGCATGCAAAGCCTGCAGCCGTCGCAAGACAGTTCTTGTGAGTTAAGGCCTTTGGGGCTTCACCAGCGACTTCCAGTGCCTTGGATTTCCTGTTAGGCTATTCAACTATTACAAACACAAATTTATTCAACTTGAAAAGTTGGCTAATTCGTTGACCAGTTTCCGACCAAAAAGCTGGGACGTGCGAGGTACACATGCACTCAGCCGGGCTTGTCCGTGACTCCTTTGCCACTTCGCCGCACGCAGGGAGCAGGGACTAGCAAGCTTTTCGGAAGGAGACATTGCGTAGCAGACTGGGCTGTCACAGGACAGCTGCAGGTGTTTTTGGGAGCACTACCATGATTTGCATTAAGCAGGAGACGAATCTAGGCATCGTATGATTGGCCGAGGAACGACACCTCGGCAGAGTTTCAGTGGACCTTGCTCCAGGACGGCAAACCTTTTGGGAATGCGAGGTTTCATGGCTGAATCATGTTGTCGCCACATTGAAGCACATGCTGGTCAGGACGCACAGCTCGTGGATGTGGCAAACAATTTCTCGCGAATACAGGCCGCCTGCCTTTCGGTGTGTTGTGCGAGGGTTTCATGAGATCATGAGATTTCCTGAGGCTGATATCGGTCAAGTGGGCCCTGGCGAGCTCTCTGGCAAGACTCTGGCTTTTTGTTAGGGCATGGAAGGCGTCGCGTGCGATTTGCCAGCTCGACACCCTTCCTATCTGAGTTTCGTGACCTTCTCACAGCAGCTCATCGGCTCCTACGACCCGCGTGCCCTCCTCGGCTACAGACTGCCGCTTGGACTTACGTCTCCTGTTGGTCTGGAGCGGTTGGTGCAAGATGGGTGCACGGTGCCACTCTTCACCCGTGCTCGGAGGCTTTTGGATGATGGTTTGGGCGGACCCTTCCATCTGGCCTACGACGGCATCGGCAGGCCAGCAGGTTTCGCCTTCAGTTCCATAAGCTGGCCCTTTGTCAGCTTTGTCTTCCGGCAATGTGTTGAGTATACTGCTTGCTGCTTGCATATGTCCTGACTTCCAGGCGCCTGACGAATACAGCAAAGATCTTCGGGCTCATGCCGGAGCGCACCTACCGCGCCTTCGTTCGTGCAGTATCATTTGTGGGCGAAGGCAAGCTTCTCAGCTTGTAGTTGTGTTGTGCATGATGCGTGTCTGGCAAGCTTTCGGTTTCCACTGCCTCTAGCCGTCTAGAATCTAGAGCACAGTGGCGCTCACGACATCTAGCGACGTGCAGGCAACGCTAGTGATATGGTGTACTTCAAGATGGCCATGCCGCTCCCCGCACCGGTACTTTGGCTGAACTGCACAGATCACGTAGTTCTTGTAGCGGTCTCTTCGGGGCTAAGGTCAACCTTTCCGTCAGCTCCGTATCATTGAAGTCCGTCATGCTGACCTGGAAAATGCCATATGCCGAGACAGCTGATGCCCTTCCGTGGCCTGGCTGTCAGAGACCGAAAACCAAACACCCGCAGTCCGGCCGGGATATCTGTTGTGATCCAGTGCTGGAGTGCGGAAGGACCGCCTTCACGAGACATCGCAAGCCCACACACTTTGGAATGCTGCCTCTCAACCCAGGGTTTCTCAGTACATCGTTCAGATGGCCATGGAGCCCGACTTCAGCAATTGGCACCTCAGACCGATGTGAGATTGGCTTTATGTTAGGGTTTTGGTGAGTGTATACAGCTTGTGAATGTTGGTGATGATTGAGCTTAACGACCTTCACCTTTGAAGCTGAGCGAGAGGCTCGTCGAAGTCGTGCTGCTTTCGTAAGCAGGTTCGACGTTCAGAATTCGCCCGCCGACAACACGGAGTACAGTGCCTGGTCTACGATGCAGATGCTTGTACGGAAAGCTTGTTTTGCCATGAACCGCAAACTCGGCTGAGGCATCCTGGTGACCCAGTTGGAGGCCGACTTCCGCTACGCCCTTCGAGTGATGGCAAACTCAGAGACCACCGGCGAAATTTACGAAAGCGTTGGCTATTCATCCATGCCGAGGAATCCAAATGCTGTGCTGCCCGATGCACTCACCGCACGACACAACTCGCCTCAGCATACAAGCTGCATGCTTAAGGAACCAGAGCATGAACAATGCTGAGCTGAGTTTGTCTGAATCAGGAACGGCTTGGGCCATACCTCAGAGTCGCTCTATTTCTGGGCTGGACTGCTGCCGAACGACACCTGCATGTATTTAGATCCTGATTTTCTGGTGTTGTTGTTTTGGAATCATATGCGGCAGCTTTCCTTCCTCGTTGTTATAGTTTTTCGCTGTTTGTACTTTTCATGGTTATGTTACTTTGTGCTGGGTGTTTTTACTTTACCTTTTTGCTCTGCTTTTGGGGTTCTTCTGCTTTTGCTTTGTGCTTTTCTGACTGCTGCCTTCAGCTGAGTTTACTTTGTGTTATATAGATGACTTGCTTCCTGCTGTATTGGCTTATGCCTTGCAAGATGCTGCTGAATTCCTGCTTTCGGCTTTTCGGCCTTCAGCTGCGGTTTGCGGTTATGTGTGCAGCTTTTTTCTGCTGCTTTCTGGGATCTGCTCTGTTCTGAAATGTGATCAACCACCATCGCCTAATGAGGGGGTGGGTTTAGGACATGCGAACAACCGCCATCGCCTAATGAGGGGGTGAGTTCAAGAAATGTGATCAACTGCCATCCCCTAGGGAGGGGGCGAGCGTGAGCAACCACAATATGTATAGCCTAATCATGAGGGGACGGGTTCAAGAAATGTGAGCAATCGTCGTCGCGTCACAGTGAAGGGGGCACTTTCGGAAGCCATCAGAAGCCTGATCAGCCGCCTCTTCCGATTGGTGGGTGGGTTTTGGAAGTGTGATCAACTCTCATCGCCTGATAAGAGATCCGGTGAGGGGGTCGGTTCAAGACGCGTGAGCCCAATGACGGGGCAAGGTTTATCGAATGTGATCAGCCGCCTGCCCTGATCTCAGGGGGCAAGTTTACAGCAAGGGGCTTAAAAATCTGGTCAACCGCAATCGCACACCGAGGTGGCGGGCGTGTGAAGTGTGATCAGCCGCCTTCGGAGGGAGGGGGCGGGTTTACGAAGTGATCAACCGACGGAGTGCTCGAACGGGCGGATTCTCTGATCAACGGCCATCGCCTGATGAGTGGGCGGGTCTAAGAGATGCGATCAACCACCATGGGGTAATGAGGGTCCGTCGCCGAACCTCTTCCTTTAAGAAGTGTGATCAACTGGCATCGCCGAAGGAGGGCCCGTTTCACGAAATGTGATCAGAATGAGAGGGGTGAGGTTAAGAAGCGTGATCAATACCATCGCATTATGACAGGGCGGGTTTGAGCAATGTGTTTGCCGGCCGTCATCGGATGGGATCAAGACATGTACAATAGTGTACGGTACGGGCTATACGCACCTCAGGGAAGACCCCAAGCAACATCCTGCACTGCCTACACTTGCCTGCATTTTGGCTAATCGCACCACTAGATCAACGCAAATAGCTTTGGACACTTCTGATAGCAAGACGCGCAGACTTGTCTAAATGATCCAAACTGCTTAAACTGGGCACGAAATGATGACAATGACAGATACCAAATCACATCCCGAATGAGGAGTTTAAAGCTATCTCCCGTTGTTCTCCGACAGCGGGATTATGGGCAGGGGAAGTGCCCCCCGTGCCCCTTCACTGGACATACCTGTTCCGGCTACGACAACCTGCTTCGTCGCGTCGCGTGAAACACGCAACAAGAATTGATGGCTCTCTCTTTAAAAGACGTATTTGTATATATTTGTATGCTGTTCAGGGAAAGAAAGGGTGGTACGGGGTTAGGGCCTCGAGCCGCATCTGCGCTGTGATGCGACTGTGACTGTGTTTTGTTTTTGTTTAGGCTGCAGCCAGCAGCTGTCAACACAAGTCTTGCATTTCTGCATTCACTGGCAGAAAAAGCCAGCCACGCTGGCAAAAGCACGAAAACAAGTACTAAGTATCAACAGCCTTGGGAAGCGCTTTCTGACGTGATGAAGCTATGACACCGTGCGCTGTAGGTGCATGATGTGAGTGTGGACTTGGCTAACTGTATACATTATAAATAGTAATGATGGCAATCATAATAGTACAAAAACGGGCGACCCTCGGCGTGCGCGTTTTGGGTGGGATTATGTCATGCAGCCAACTCCGAAATACACAATAGGAAGCATCCAAAAAGAACAAGGAGAACCAACCAAAAATCAACAGAACCAACAAAAAGACAAAAGAGCAAACACACAAACTCAAACAAAAACACCAACAAGTTCTGGCACTCCTGAATCTGGCGCCAGAAGTTCCAAGAGTTCCGGAAATTTGGGGTTGTGCTTTTTTTTCTTGGTCGTTGTTGGTTCTTCTGTTTTTGTTTGAATAGATTGCTGTTGTTTGCTCTTTTGGTGTTTTGGTTGTTCGTCCCACTGCACGTATTAAGGAGCCGGCTGCAAGCCATAAACCCACCAAAAACGCGCGTGCCCAGGGTCGGTGCAACACACAGGGACAATGCACTTTCACGGAAAGGGCATTCGCAGAATAGCATATGTAGACATGTTGAAGTGCAGTTAGTCTAGTCTCTATGGTATAGCCCTGTCGCCCTTGTAGACCAACCGGCATCTGCGGGATACAACGATCAATGTAACTATTGTCCTGCTAGAACCAATGAAGTATTTGATAGTATCGGTGATGATGTTGTAGTCTTGTAGCTAGGGAATACACGTTAACAATTACTAAACGTTAAATCAACGGTAAATAACCTCTATTGAACAAATCTATCAACAAGGTTGGACGTTCATGCAAACGTGTATGTGTATGAAACTTGTGTTTTCACACATATATATATATATGTAAATGTATTCACATCTGTTTTTGGGGTTTAAGGTGCATGTGCACACTGATGTACCGATGCATGGTTGACATTTCAGTAGTGGTGTGCATGCTCGTGTTTGTTGGTTCAAGCTTTGTTTGTTTACTCATCCGTGTGTGTTTGTTAATATTATGATATATTATGTTTTACGCAAGTTATGTAAAGTTTCAATTACTGCGGACAGATGTTGCAGTAGCTAATAGGCTGCTAGCAGAAAGCTCATGTTGAGTGTCATACTCGTTGATATAACAATGCTCTTGCAACTATCGTCATTACTCATCTTGATTCTGATCTTATTGTTAATTAATTCTTCTGTATAGATGTCTACACTCTAGACAAAGTGACGCAGATCCACATAACACGAACTTAAGGTTTAAAAAGTATTATATCTCACATTAAAATTACATTTCTGGGGTTTTCACATTGATTTACATGCTCATCTTCATATTATATGCTATGCGCACCATGCTTCTGCTACTCGTGTGAATGACACCCTAATTCAGTTCTAGCAAACATATTGTGGCTGTTTATGATTCTGTATATATATATATATACATTTTTGTCGTGCGTTTATCTATAAAAATATTATTTTGCCGTGTATTAAAAGTATTGTGTATATGGTGCTATTACTTTCTATATTCAGGTTGAATGCTTATATAGATATTTCGACATGCCTGTATAAGATGAAATAACACAAAAAACTATGGTTAGTACTGGTATTACGGCCAACATTTGTCACACAGTAGGTATATATATATACATATACATGAATGCACATATAAATACATACACATATGTACATCCGTACATATATGCACATATACATATGCCTTTACATGTATATGTATGTACACAAACATAAATACTACACATATACATAAGATGTACACATATACACATGCACGTACATGAATAAACTTCATGAGCTACTTTTGCTAGTACAATAGAACAGAATCATAGTCATTATGCTTATGTGTTACCAGAACGATAGAACAAATAAAGATAAGTTGAAGATGCAAGCAGCATGTACTAATGTCTAAAATATAAATATTGCAGAAAACAATAATAGCGGTGGTGGTAAATACTGGAATCCACCACATGTTTTTCCGCTTTCCAAATCAGGAGCAGGTACGTTTCCTACAGCCCGATCCGTTTCCAAAGGCCGTGTCTTTGGTCGTTGCATCTTCCGACTAGTTACATGACCAACAGCCACATCTAAAGCAAGGCACCACCTTGCCCCCCCAACAAGCGAGCCAAGCCGGGTTTCGAAGCATACGCCATAGCAAGAGCCGACATGGAGTGTACTCACTTGATCGCGAAAGCTGTCGATTCATAGCCGAGACGTATTTACGCATCACCAAGAAATGAAAAATGTACGCCCACAGTCCCCCCGCACTCCACTGATAACGATAAAAACAGCCATCTAAGCACTCTGAATAACAACCTCATTCTCTTTGTTCGAGGGGCTGCACCCACCGGCGGGCAGTGCAGGTGGCAGTCCGGACAAATCGATACAAACTTGAGCTTCAAACCGCAAACCGTCTAGAACAACATTTAACAAGAACGGAAGGGGCCTTCTCCCCCCCGCCCCGTGTCCCCAGGGCCCAACTGATGCTGATGATGCGCACCCCGGGTCCTGGACTGGGGCCGCTGATGCGCATGATTCGCGCCCTTTTGGGGGCTCCTCATGCATATGGGTACCCAAAAATTACGCAAAAATGCTCAAAACTAGGTTGGGTCGGCGGCACTGGCGGACACGCCTTTTGCTAAAGCAAGTGCCCGAGTAAACACCGGAAGTGTCCCCATGGCCCCACTGATGCTGATGATGCGTGCCCCGGGTCCCGGCTCGAGACAACTGCAGTTCCATGGTTGATCCATTGTGCCGCGCCGTGCCGAAGTCCAGAGCCTCTCAATTGCTCTTCGTGATGTACAGGATTTACAGAACCAGCATCTGCCATGGCACCTACCTGCACAAGACGAGCTTTTTTCTCCACAACACAAAGATTTGAGATGCCTTCTACGACCGTGCTTAAAGCACTCGTTTAGAATTGGCGCTCTCTACTTAACTGTGCTGGCTTCTGCCGAGAATGGTGCTACTCTAGACCATCAAGGCTTCGACCCAAGGGGCGTTCACCGCAGCCTTCCCTGGAGCCAGCATATCAAAAACATGCACTTCACATGAGCTCGAAACACTCTAATTTCCTCACGCAGCAGGCCCTGGCTTTCCTCACTCCTCCTTTATCGCGCCGTCAGGAGCGATCAATCCCTCACAGACTGTCCTGACGTGAGAAGCTGCGTGTTGAAAACATTCTCATACTCCCG